TCAAAACGTAAAACGAATAAGACATGAACAACTCACTCCTCGAGCAAAGCAATTATTAAAAAAAAGATCCCAAATGAGCAAAGCTCTAGCTATGTGTCCTAATAACACATTTGATAGGTGGACGGAGCCTAAGAGAGTACCTCCCTCAAACCGTTCTTACTAAAAGGCATCTAAAGAATAAGTGATCACGAGGCTCATCGGGCACTCTCGTGAATCTCTTTAGAGGAATGTTTGAGTCAGTAGTAATAATGGAAAAAAATGAAACTTTCTTCAAAATCATACAAAAAGAGTGAGTTATGATCTTTGTTTAGTACATAAACTTCAAGTAAGAGATCTGTACTGTTTAGAACAAAAACAGAGCAAAGCATGTGTTCATGTACAAGCTGAAGCTGAATATAACTAATTTACAGTTACTCACATAAGCCGTAAAGGAATATGTGTTGTTGCATGGATCAAAACGTGTGTTTGGAAGCCGAGCAGCCGTGTTGGGGTATGAGTATTATTACAGGATCAATCCATCTTTAACAATTTGGTCTAACCAAGATGCGATATCTGAGATTGTTGGTCGCTTGCTGGGATTTCCTCGTACAGCTAGCTCGGCTATATCAGCAAGTTTAAGTAGAGGCTCCACGTTTCTGGGTAGAATGGCGTATCGATCTATTATGGCAGCAGCCTTACCCTGCTTGATCAAAGGCACTGCCCATTCAACAATGCTTGAAGGTGTGTAATCTCTGTCATAACCCTTCCTTCCACTGATGATCTCCAGAAGCACGATACCAAAGTCGTAAACATCCCTCGTCAAATCCGCACCAGCATCGTCATTGTCATCGTTCGATGCTATAAGCCCGAAATCTGCAATTCTGGCTCCCCAATGGAAATCCAAAAGAATGTTGGAAGTTTTGACATTTTGATGGACTAGAGGAGGCACGAGTTCGTTGTGAAGGTACTCGAGTCCCCTCGCCGCCTGCATCGCTATTTTGAACCGCAGCGACCAATTTAAAGGAGAAAGACCGCCATGGAGATGATCATGGAGTGTGCCGTGGGGCATGAACTCATAAACAAGAAGCCTCTCTCCCATCTCACAACAGTAACCCAACAGATTCACAATATTGCAATGCCTTATCTTACAAAGGATATCCAACTCCATTTCAAAGTCCCTACTGTTGGTGTGAATAATGGTAGCAGCATTTGCCCTCTTCACTGCAACCTGCTGCCCATCTCCTAACACAGCCTTGTACACAAACCCATATCTCCCCCTACCGACCTCGTTAAACTCCTTGAACCCGTTCGTGGCGTCTTTCAACTCCGAAAGCCGAAAAATCTGAGGAATCCCAGGACACAGAGGAACCAGTGGAGCACAAGAATCAGTTTCAGTACCAGTTTCCAGCTCGGAATTGTGATGTTTCTTGCTCCCGCTCCCGTCTTTCTTCGAACCGATTATGCGAGTATGAACACACCAACCGAGTAGAATCAGTACCAATCCAGCAACAGACCCACCAACTATTAGCAGTATACGACGCCATTGATGCCAATGCGTCTGCTTCGTTTCAGGAGATGATGGAACTCCACAAGTATCCCAACAAGAGCTGTTCTGGCAAAGAGAGCAAGCAGTGCAAATCCTATCAGAATTCAAAGTACAAGGGCTAGACAAGAAGTGCCCATCGGAGCAATTCAGTCCACAGCGGATACAGATGTTTAGATCCTTCCTTACACACAAGCTTTTCAAATCTGGTTCATTCAAAATGCTGGCATTGAAAGAGAACTCCCCTTCACGGCAAGGTCCTGGAGCGCACAGCCCTGGACTACAAAGCTCCAAAGGAGGATCATAGCCAGGAGGAGCCTCAGGAGAATGTGAAAACCAACAATCAAGAACAAGATTGTCCTCTCTAATGCCGCAGATTGCACGGTCTGATGAAGCAATCGTCATAAATCCTGTGTTCTTAGGAATCAAAGATGAGTTCAAGCTACCCCAACAGTCCACTTCGTGAGTATCCCTTCGGATGCCGCAAAAATGCCGCTCGCCGGCGGTCAAAGTCACGTAGCCGGCGGTTTCCGGAAGGCCGACGAATGAATCGGCGCTACCCCAGCATTTAACTCCGCCGGATACCTCTGAGATTCCGCAGACGGCATCTTGTCCGGCGGCTAGAGCTACGAATTTTTCAGAAACGTTTGGAACGTCGAGATTGGTTGAGTTTGGTCCCCAGCAAAGAATCCCTCCATCTCGAAGCTCGGCGCAGCTAAATCCTTCGCCCGAAACAACCCTTTTGAAGACGAGGCTGGCAATTGATTGATTATAAAACAGAGAGCTCTGTTTAGAGCTCAGACTCTTATTATTAATTGAATCTCTCGATATATCCCAACAATCTACAGGACCCAAATCGCCGTCAGAATAATAAGATCCCCTAATTGCACAAACATGGCTTTTTCCCGCGGCAATATGCGAGTAAGCAGTGGCTCGAAAAACCAACGGGACGAGATCTGTACCTGGATTTATCGAATCCCAACAGTACGCGTGCGAAGTGTTTGATAAAATACCGCAAAGAAATCCCTCGCCGCCTGAGAGAGCAGCCATTGCCGGAATGTCGACGGAGAAGATGGAGGTAGAAGATGAGGAAGATGGTGAAAGAGACGAACTATTCTTGCCCCAACAAATAACTTCCTGTTTGCCACTGGCATCAATAGCGCAGAAGAATCCATCTGGGCCAAATGCAGCTGAAATAGGAGCCATTGATCCAAACCCAGATACATAAACAAAGAAAAGATGCAAAAAAACACAAAGGGGTGGCAGCAATTTACAAGATTTGTAAAGGGTACGATGAACTCCCATGATTTCTCCAAGCTACTCACTCTCGTGGGTTGCTTTGGAATGGATTGAGTAGTGTCATGGACAGAAAACAGAGTCTGTGATTGGCTTTGTGAAGTTCTTTCCGCTTGCCCAAGTAAGCAGAAGAAGAAGAAGAAGAAGTATAATGGAGGAGATGAGAGTAATGGTGGTGACGCAGAGAGAACGTGGATTTCGCCATTTTTTTACGGCTTGGATTTAGATTAGATTCGACCCCTTGGACTCTGAAACTACTGAATATAGTTGATGAGACCAATTTCACAGACCACAAAAAGGGTGAAGAAGGTTAAAGGAAACACTTTCATTGAGCTGTGAAATCCAAGGAAGATGGAAGTTTAGTGGTTGTCAACGTTGAAAATTAGGCCTCTTCACCATTTATGGCAACGCAAAAGGCAGAGCAATACCCAACCGGACAACAGATTCATGCCAAGCTAATACCCTCTTTTTAAATTCAATCAAATCCTAACCCAACTAAACAAAATCTTCATTTTTATTTATACTTTCATCCAAATGTGTTTTCTACTTCACTCCTGGTCAAGAACTTCATATCTTATCGACAAGTTAATACTTTGCCCAACATAAACTCTTGGTTCTATCAACATTTATATTATATTTAAGTTTATGTTGAATTTATGTTCATGAGACTCATAACAATACACTGTATTAAAATAAACAATAAAATAATTTCTAAGTTTGCACTGAGTAAACAGACTACATATAACTAAGGTGTGAAAAGTGTTGGAGAAATTTTAGATGAAATTACGAGTTGAACCATAGCCAATAGAATTTTAAAAGAAGGCTCGTAACAATCTTATGTTGGGTAATCTCTTGTGAATTTTTTTGGACAGTTTGATTTATAATCTATTATTAGATATTTAAACATATTTTTTTAGAGAGAAAGAAATAATAAAATCATTATTAAAGGTTTTTTAGTTTTTAGGTTGAGAAAGTTAAACTTTTTTTAAAACAATATTTGTTTTAGTGAGGAAATTATTGTAATGAAAAAAAAAAATCTGTTCTAAAATTAATGTATTTTAATAAATTTATATTACAAATAATTTACGTTAACAAAATTCATAATCTTGATTTTATTCATACTTATTAATCAAAGCTGTGGTCTCCACAGCACATGACAGCTTAATTAAGCTCCCACCTGATTTTGATCATTACTTAGTTATTTAATAATTAAGTTATTTGATAAAATATTTAATGTTTCTAATTTTTAGGGCACAAATAATAATTAAAATCATCATTGTTGGACAATTTTGGTACAACTATTTAGTTGGGTTGGTGACTGGAACAATTTGAATAGAGTTTACAATTCAACTCAACCATAAGTTGGGTTGACTGTTTTTTTTAATTAATTAAAAAAACACACACTCATTCACCGTATAGGTTGAATTAATAACTAAAATTTCATAAAATTCAAATATCAAAGCACATGCTACTAACATCCGCAACCTACATTAAATATTCTCAATTTATTTAAAAAAAAAATAGAGTAGGACTGAGTTGTAATCCTTTTTAATAGGTTGACTCGACAAAAAAATGTCAACCTGTAAACCGAACCGAATATCCAACTTTAAGGAATTCAACCCAAACCGAAAAAAAAAAATCTAACTCAACTGAATTTTTATAGTTTGAGTTAGATAGTCTTGATGGTTCGTATGAGCAGCTATTATTGAATTTTCATAAAGGTTTAAAAATTAATATTGAAATAAAAGTCATAGAAATTTAAAACAAACTATGGTTCTAGATCATTGTCTACCTTTTTCAAAATATAATTCAATCAAACTCGAGAAGCATCCATCCAACCCATTTTAAATATTCTAACTAACAAGTAGGCAATATAATATGAATTATAGAGCATGTTATTAATATATTTTATTATAAGGTAGATACACTTGGAAATTCACATGTCCAAAATATTTAATAAGTAAAATAATAATAACTTCCAACATGCATTTTATTTTACCCATCACCATATCATATATTTATTTACTCAAAACCTTATATTACTGATTAGGAGTATTCTAGAGATCTAAAGAATATGATATAATATAAATGGGCAGCGCCAGCACAGCGCGGCTAGTGTCGAGCAAGTTGCTCATCCCGGAAGTGAGCGCGTGGACTCGCTGTTAAAAGACCGTTTATATAAACCCTAAACCCATCAAAATTTTACAAGTTGAACAACATAATTAAAATTGCGATTCTATCAGACAAAGAACTATTGAAGAAGAAGAAGAAGAAGAAAATCCATTAAATTGAGGAACTCCGGAAGGATCTCAAGGTCTTCGCAGCTCCTCCTCTCAGAACAAATTCATGGTAAATTGCAGCCATTGCAGTTCCGGTGAAAGGTCCGGCCCAGAATATCCACTGCTCCTCAAAAAATAACAGACTTTGAAAAACAATTTCAAATGGTTTGATTCAAGTTTGAGGAAAAAAATGAGAAATTACGTGGTTATCCCAAGCTTTGTGTTTGTTGAACATCACTGCAGAGCCGAAGCTTCGAGCTGGGTTAATGCTGGCGCCGGTGACCGGAATAGTGGCCAAATTCACCACGAACATGGCAAACCCAATTGGCAGCGGCGCTAGAACCTTTGAAATTGAGTTTTTTTTCTTAACAATTATTCAACTGCTAATAATCGTTGGATAAGAATTAGAAATGCTTACAGGAACGTGGGAATCTCTGGCTTTTCTCTTCGGATCGGTGGCAGAGAAGATGGTGTATACAAGAACGAAGGTTCCGATGATCTCGGCGGCCAGGCCGGCGCCGGGACTGAAACCGTCGGCGAGCTCGGTGGCTCCACCGCCGAGGTCATTAAAGTTAGCCTTCTTTAATGACTTCACCAGCCCACACCCACAAATGGCTCCCAAACACTGAGCCACTATGTACAGTACAGCTCTGACCAACGAAACCTTCCGCCCCATAAATAGCCCAAATGTCACTGCTGGGTTTATATGTCCTCCTGCACCGGATCAAATTTAGGACCAAAAAGCCATGAATTTAATCTAAATTGAGGGAGAGACAGAGCAGAACTCGCCCGAAATGCCGGCGGTACAGTAAACGAGAACGAAGATGGTGCCACCGAACGCCCAAGCGATACCCAGAACGCCAACGCCGCCGCAGGCGGAGGCAGAAGACTGCCTCTGGTTTCCAATCACAGTGAGCACTCCGACGTACAGAAACAAAAGCGTGGCGATGAACTCAGCGATGATGGCCCTGTAAAACGACCACCGGGAAAGCTCAGTTGCAGTGTGAGTGAAGTGAAGATAAAGGAGAAATGTTTGATTAAGGGAATCATAATAAATAGGTCAAGAAATGAAATATTCTTGGACGTAAACTGGAATCCATGGTTGATGAAACTTCCAATGGCCTCGATTTCTTCGACATGGATTCGTTTCGAAGTTGAAAACCAGGAATAAAGTAGGCGGCAAACTTCCGACCGACTAAGCCCATGTCATGTCTAACATTTCCTTGTATTATTTTATTATTGTTAATTATATATATTCTTTATTTCAACCTATTTTCAAACATTTTTTTTCTCATAAATGCCTATTACCGAGAGTTGAGTCTTTCAAAACAGAGTGCAGCTAATTCATTTCTTCTTTCACTGTAAACTCGGATATTCAAAGGTTCGTTCATTCGTAGTTCAGGATTGAATGACTCTCCTCTCCAGTTTCCCTTCTTTACTGTTCAAGAATAAGGAACAATCATTGGGATTTAAGGTTAAGAATTGTCCACATAACTATTTATTTCTACCCTATTTATTCTTTCCAAAGAAAAAAGTATGTAGGTCCTAATGGAATAACTTTGTCATCCACCAAAATTGGTACCTATAATATGGGAGACGTTATATTAGGTGGTAAAGCACGGGAATTATATAGAATAATTTTCTAAATTTCACATACTAAAGAGTTGTTTCCGAATCAAATAAATATGAAACCCTAAGAAAATTGGGATGGATTGATTTAAGTTATTTAGGTCACACATTCAAATTCTACTCCCACCAATTTTAATGTTTATTTTTTTATTGATTGCATAAGTGTTTTATATTAAAATAGAAAAACCCTAAATTTTTTGTTCAAATTTATTAATTTTAATTAGCGAAAATTGAATTTGGAAGTAGAAATTACCAATAAATAAAAGTTTTTTTTTCTTTTTTTTGACGTTTTTATTTGTAAAATTATCATATGGAAGTAACTTTGTTGTTTTCATATAAATAGAATTCTTAAAATACAATTCAAATATTTGCTCCCTTCGACTAAGGGGTTGTGTCTGTATTATTACAGGATCTCTCCACAGATCTCTCTTCTCGCGTTCTGAAATCTCATTGATTCTCATCTTCATAAGCGAATCGTCTCCTATCCTTTGATTTCGGGTATGTTTCTCTATCATTCTAGTTGACTGAATTTGTTTTCGATTGACATATGTATTTTCCCCCTACGATTTGATCTTTATTTGTTGCAGTTCATTTATTTATTTATTTGTTTATTTTTTGAGATTTGTCTGCCTTGTGGAATTTCGGGATTGAATTGTGGTCTCTTCGGATCAGGAAAAACTCAGATCCTTTTTCGTTTTGATAACAATTTGCAGAAACTTGATTAACAATCACTGTTTTGTATTCCCTTTCGGCTGGGCTGGGAAGAAGATCGGATATCTAATTAATGAAGCCTAACTCGATAAATAATCACTATTCTGTATTTTGGATCCTACATTTCTCTTTTCTTTGCAGCCAAACAGATTGTTTACTTTCTACAACTACATTCGGTCTAGACCTCTCTTTATTTTGCTATTGGCGTTTGATTTCCGTTGCAATTTTCAAATCCTCTCCTATTTAGCTTGCCATTTCAAATTTCAAGTTCATCATTTTGTTTCTCCACGTAATGGTCTAGATAAATCAAGCAAGTGGTTAATGGAATGCCATTCAAGAGATACTAAGACCATGGAGGAATATGCCAAACTTCTCACTTTCTTAAGAGAGTGACTATTATCTAAATTATGCGAACTGAAACAAAATCCTGTCTGTATGTGATTTTAGAAAAAAGAAAAATTGAATATTTGCATCGGAATGCAAGGATGACCATGTAAGGTTCTGCATCTTGTTTCTGATTTATAGCAGTCATTGAATTTGGCTCAGTGTTTAACTTATCAGGTCTTGTCGATTTTTAATTAAATAATTTTCCACTCCTCAGACAAGGCCATACATGATGTTCATTCTCTGGTAACATTCCTTTTTCTACCAGAATTTTTCTTCACGGAATCAGTGGAACATAATAATTAAAGATTAAAAACAGGACTGACTATTCTGCCATAAGAAATAATTAAATATGGTTTGATTTCATATTTGTTTCACGTTTACCACGAACAAAAAAAAAGTTAGTTTGGGGATCAGTGATACTAGTCCATCTGCCTCGTTTAGATCTTATTTCTGTCTTGTTAACTATTGAATTATTGTGAAGTAGTTCGAGATGATGATTTTGTCTAGTTCATTTGTTATAAGACTAGATTTTTTGGGTTCCCTAGAATAGAATAATGTTGTCAACTTTCATGTCTCTTGTCTAATTCTTTTATCTCTTGCATCTTCCTATTTTTCATCTTTTCAAATTTTTGTCTCTTGTTGCTAGAACTCTTTGGTTTTCTTAATCTTGCAGTACTGAAACACAGTTGTTCTAGGGAGCTTGTTGTGGGTATTTTGCAATGGTTGAAAATCTGATGATCTGGTATCTTATGATGACAAATATCATCATAAGTGCTAAATATACTGGTTTATATTTTTTTACGTTTTTTTAATATAAATATTAGGTTTTACATTCTGTTTGAATTGTTTTAACTAGACTATTTTTGTCTCTATGAAGTTGTAGTAAAATTGTTACTTTACTGCATCTTTTTATGTATGCCTGCTCTTCATAGGGGCTTTCCTTATATCTACTATATTTATTTGTTGATTCGTATTCGCCTATTTTTTGTTGTCAGTAAAAGTCTATCATGTGGAGGAAGACAGGGGAATGTTACCTGCCTTTTGGAATGTGAGGGCGCATATTTGATGGTGGAATGGAAAGGAAAACAATAGATGGCTTTGAACCAGGTCCACTTCCTTCGCCCAGGCAAGTAGACAGGTTTGGATTCTTAAAGCAGGAACACAATAGTTCTCCAGATGCTATAACCAAAATCAGGTCCACCCATGTACAGGAGAGGTACGCTTTTATTCATGGCTCAATAATTTCTTCAACATTCTGCTTTCTTTATTAAGAATCGAGTTGATTATGCATTATGGATGCCCTACAATTTCAGGGAGGAAAGGAGAGTTAGAAAATGGAGGAAGATGATTGGAATTGGAGGTAGCGACTGGAAGCATTATGTTAGGAGAAAACCTCATGTTGTTAAAAGGCGTATAAGGAAAGGTATTCCTGATTGTTTAAGGGGTCTAGTTTGGCAGCTGATTTCTGGAAGTCGAGACTTACTGTTGATGAACCCTGGAGTTTATGAGGTATTATGTTTTTTCTTGGAATTTGTTTGAGATTGCGGTCTTAAAATGAATTCTTACAAATATTTTTGTTGTAAGCTTTCTAAAATCTAAAAATTTGTTGGTTTCTGTATCCTAGTTACTGTTTCAAAGTGTAAAGTTTTAAAAATACAAATGGCTCTTTTAAAAGCATTAGATATTTAATCAATGAAAATTTTCTGATTAGTTAAATTAAAGTCAGTAAGTTTTTTGTTCAATCGTTTTACTCTATGAACTGACAAAAAAAACTAATGAATGTATGGACTGAATCCTCAAAAGTACTGGAGCCTTACTTCACTATCAAATTTGGCAAGCGGGCTTCTTTGCTTAGTGCGTTTGGGAAGTAAAAAACTGTGTCTTTTCCGGCATAGATTGACCTTGAAAGAAAGGTTTGAAGTGTGGCTCACTTCAATGCCTATTTTTGACGTACGTTTCTAATTTCTTTTAATGTGTCCTATTGTATTTTATTCTTAAGGATTTAAGTCCTTTCCTGTATTTCATTTTGTGGCTTCGATGGTTGGTTTGGCTTATGGTGTTGTATGACCTAGGGTTGTAAAATTTTATTCTTACTAATGAATGTGTTTTCATGTCAAATTTGATTTACATCTCAAATCAAAAAGATCAAATATATGATTGAAACCAAAGTCATAATATCAGGTTGGACTTAACTGCTTTATGTTTCACCTGTGGTCATATGATATGATTAGTCTGACTGACTATAAATGTTTTGTACCACATATACTTATCGAAGTTTATGTTACCCAGCTAGTCAGCTACTACTGAGTTTGTTTCTGTGCTTCTTTTATGAGAATGCAATTGTAACCTTTTATTTGGGTTTGTTGTCAGTAAAGTAGAAACCTATACACTTATCGTATTCAACAAACCCATACGTGATTACTTTTATGGTCTTCTTTTGTAGTCTTATAAATATTTAGTTCTAAGAATTATGGTTTTAGGTGACTTATTTTTTGCAGCAATTGGTAATTTTCCTTGGAATTTTATGTACTTTGAGATATTTCTTATACCTACCCTCACATGTTTTTCTTTCAATAAATGAAAAGATTATGCCATTTTTTTTTTATATATTTATTCATCTATAGTCCCATGGATGATGGTAATCTAATGGTATATATTTTTTTGCAGCAATTAGTAATATATGAGACATCAGCTTCTGAATTGGATATTATTCGAGATATCTCTCGTACCTTTCCTTCACATGTTTTCTTCCAACAGAGACATGGACCTGGTCAGAGATCTCTCTACAATGTTTTAAAGGCATATTCAGTTTTTGATCGGAATGTCGGATATGTTCAGGTTCTCAATCTTCTATAGTTTATCATCAGTGATATGTTAACAATTATATTTTGTGGTGAATGGTTTGTAATGTTTTTGATTGTGTAGGGGATGGGATTTTTAGCTGGTTTGTTGCTTCTCTATATGAGTGAAGAGGATGCATTCTGGCTGTTGGTCGCATTACTTAAAGGTGCAGTTCATGCTCCTATGGAAGGATTGTATCTGGTAACGCTGTTCTTTGAGATCTCTCTATTGTGACTTCAACTTTATAATAGTTAGCAGTCCAGAAAATTTGAGAATCAGAAAAAATGAATGGTCATAATCTCCCTTCTGGTGCTTCATGTTTAGTCGAAACAAATTTATTTATTGATTATCATGAAAATGGAGAAGTATTGTGAAATGATTGTTGGTGGCTATACCCAGATGGGAGGTTTAGGTATTAAGAGCATCAACATATAAGACCATTGCTTCCTCTATGGCTGTAGTGTAGACCTGTTGAGAGTCTTAGACTCTACTCCTTTTAGCATGAAATTATTAAGAAAATATGAATCCAGACAAGGTTTCTGATTTCTTATTCACCTGAAAAGCTAGCTGTTTTATATGGGTCAGCTTCCCTTTATATGATCGTAATAACCATTGAGTTCGTTATTAACTACAAGTCACTTGTTAACGGCTGACTGACAGCTTCCTATTTTGTTAGCATGGGCTCAACAATAGAATAGAAATAGAACGAATGAAAAGAGAAATTAAGGAAAGGACTTATCACAATATCACTGCGCCAGTTCCCCCTACCCCCACCCATCAATAAAAACCAAGAATGATTTGCTAGTTACTATAACTGATTGAGCCAACTTTCCTCAATTCTGACCTCTTCTACATCCAAATTTTCTCAAGAAGTTCCAGGAGATTGCCCCATTCGGCCACCTTTCTGTCATTGAGTAACTCATGTAGATCCTCATGGTAGATTTTTGTTATACTAAATTTTAATTTGTTTCTCATGTGCTTTTCTTTTGTTTTTATTCATCCAATCATGATTTCTGCATGATCATATGCTTGTGAGTAATGAATGGTTATAAACTTGCATGAACTACTGTAGAGTTTTCTGCCAAGTCATGGTGGTGCATTTTTTATAAAGTGGTCTAAAGTCTTGCCACCGATTATGTTTCTCAGGGTTGTGTCAAATATTAAATACTTTTTGATTGACTTGTGTTGGGGTTCATTTGAGGAGTTTTTTTTGTTTTTTTGGATAGGCGGGGCTTCCTCTAGTGCAGCAGTACCTATTTCAATTTGATAACCTTGTGAGAGAGCAGCTGCCCAAGCTTGGAGAGCATTTTACACAGGAAATGATAAATCCTAGCATGTACGCGAGCCAATGGTTTATTACCGTTTTCTCTTACTCTTTCCCCTTCCATTTGGCTCTACGAATTTGGGATGTCTTTCTTTATGAGGTTGGTTACTTGAAATCATATGCATCCTTTTCTGCAACACAATTCTTCTATAAAGAAGTTCACGCTTATTATTAATGTCTTCTACCACAGGGTGTTACGATTGTTTTTAAAGTTGGTTTGGCTCTTCTAAAATATTGCCATGATGACTTGGTGAGTTATGAATTGCTTCAAATAGTTTCGGCGTCCACATTTACATTGCTGCTAGATCCTACTATTGATTCTTTCTTTTTTTTTTTGTTTTCCGCAGGTAAAGTTGCCCTTTGAAAAACTCATACATGCTTTGCGAAACTTCCCAGAAGATGCAATGGATCCAGATACATTATTGCCCATGGCTTACTCAATTAAAGTACGTCCCTTTCTATCTACACCCCCCTTCCCAAGCCCCAGCTTGGCAACCATGAAAATTAATATTTCAATTGTTGCGTATGCATGATTGTAATAAATCTGAATTTGCTGAACTCTTCATCATCGAATTTAAACCAAATAAGGAACTTGTTAATCAATGCGTTGTAAGTCATCACATCAGTATTTGGTTTGGCAATTTCACATGTTCATCTCTACGTTGTGTTATTTGATTTGAGAATCTGATGAATGAAGTATTTAATCTAATAAGGGTACCCAAATTTAGAGTAAAATAAAAAATAGGTAGTAACAATCACTTAATGTTGATTTGTTCGAAAGGGTGATAATGGAAGCTTCTAACTAATATGCAGAATATGCATATCAGTTCATTTCCATTCAAAGATCTCATCTTTTATGGCCAAAATATGCAGAGACGACATGTCTGGAAGTATAGTAGAACGTGTTTTGCTTTATTTCTAGAAGATTTCGAGTTTGAATTTTGTTGGTTGGTTTTTTTCTTAATGATTAGGTGTCCAAGCAGCTGGAGGAATCGAAACATCTGTATGAAACGAAGCATGGGAAGGAGATTCAGGGTGATGCTGAAACTAGTGGGAAACAGGAGCAGGAGGTGCATTGAAGGTCACTACTTTTCCCTCTCCCATTGGAGCCAATGAAAAAACCATAGACAAATTAATTTTTTATGATTTCTCTCTGTCACTTCTGAATTGTTTAGGATGTTAATTGAATGATGCATAGTCATAATTTATCATTTATCATTTTATTATTTTCTCGAGTTAGTACAAATGCTTTGTAAATTCCTAGTCTCCTACCCCTTTTGTGTGGACAAAATGTTCATAAATTTTTCTCGACCTATATCTAATGGGGTCGATGTATTTATATGTTACAATATAAATTTTATCTGTTGAATGAAATTATACATTTTTTTCTCATTTGGGAGAAAATTTCTAATATCCCTTCAAAATTCTAAAAAAAAATAGTAAATGTTTACTAATATAATGGCCCATATTAATTAAAAAATAGTTTTAAAATATATCAAAGAAAATAAATTAAATTCGATAAAACGAGTAAAATTACTCTGGCATGACACGTGGTTAATCAATAGCCACAGCTTTTTTTCTTTTCTATTCCAAAACCTGTTTTATTATTATTATTTTTTTAAATAATGCCATTAAAAATTGATATTTTGTTTTTATATAAAAAGGCAATGCGGAGAAGGGGAGATAAAGGAGTGGCCCAGTTGGAGATGGACGGTGGATATTGATTTGATTGGTCGTTTCAATCATGCCTCACCGACTTACTCGCACGAGACTGTATCCTGCAGCCGGGATTCATCGCCTAATACGTACACCAATTCCACAATATTACAAATTAATGAATTATTTTTCATTATTGGACCATTTTATTTTAAAATAATCACAATGATAAATAACAACCATACTTTATTAAACTTTCAATTTATTCTATTTTTTAAAAATTAAATTACTTATTTAATTCCACATTGTCCTAGTCTCATCTCCTATACTACATGACATTCTAGCCTGAACGGGCATAAACATGATTTTGACGATTGGTCATATAAGTAGTTGGCGTCTCTGTTAACTGGCTCTTCGCAAACTCAACAATATAAGTTGAGGCTGATTTCAAGTCTCTCGACTCGTGTTCACGTTTTTAATAAGTTAATATTCTATCTGATCTAATATAAAATAAAAATATATAATGTATTATAATAAATTAAGTGCTTAAGTTAATAATTACCGAACTTCAAATTTTTATATGAAATGGAATAATTAAACCTAAAACATTAGATGAAGATAGAACACATTAAACCGAAATAATTAAAAGCTTAATATTAATTAATTACCGACTAGTTTCAAGAACCTACCAGAAAGGAAACGACAAGAAGCGAAGAAGCGCCGCCCGCTGCCTGTGAGTGGCAGAGAGAGAGTTCACGAAAAGCAACAGAAAAGAAGAGAACAAAATGGGGCGGCGCAAGAACACCATAAACTTTTCATGATCCTCAAATTTCCAGTCTTCAATCCACTCCTCCTTCTCCTACTATAAATATACATTCCCATTCCTCTGTTTTTCATCCTCAATCTGCAAATTCTGCTCTGTTTTTCGAACCAATCAGTTTCCCAGATTTGAATTTCTTGTTTGAAGCATGTCGAAGGATATTGAAGCCGGAGGGCGTGGTGGGTTTAGCGGCAAGGATTACCAAGACCCGCCGGCAGCGCCATTGATCGACGCACAGGAGTTTGCTCAGTGGTCATTTTACAGAGCCATTATAGCCGAGTTTGTTGCTACCCTTTTGTTCTTGTATGTCACGGTTCTCACTGTCATTGGGTATAAAGTTCAGAGTGATGTTGACAATGGAGGCCAGATTTGCGGCGGCGTAGGCATTTTGGGCATCGCTTGGGCCTTCGGCGGCATGATTTTTGTACTCGTTTACTGCACCGCCGGTATTTCCGGTGAGTTCAATGAATCAAAGAGCGAAAGATTAATTTAATTTTTTGTTACTGAATATTGTTGGGGAATACGCAGGGGGACACATAAATCCGGCGGTGACATTTGGGCTGTTCTTGGCTCGGAAGGTGTCGTTGGTGAGAGCCGTATTATACATGGCGGCGCAGAGTTTGGGCGCCATTTGTGGGTGTGCGTTAGTGAAGGCATTTCAAAACGGCCACTACAATGAGTACGGCGGTGGAGCCAATTCGCTCGCCGACGGTTACAGCACCGGCACCGGATTAGCCGCCGAGATCATCGGAACCTTCGTTCTCGTTTACACTGTGTTTTCCGCCACCGACCCGAAGAGAAATGCCAGAGACTCCCATGTTCCGGTAAGAAATTTGGAACCCAACAAAACCCAACAAAACTGATTAGAAAACCAGAAATTAATGGCTTATAAATTCAAAATGAAAGGTTTTGGCGCCACTCCCAATTGGGTTAGCGGTGTTCATGGTTCACTTAGCCACGATTCCGATCACCGGCACCGGTATCAACCCAGCTAGAAGCTTCGGAGCTGCAGTGGTGTTCAACAAATCCAAGCCATGGGATGATCAAGTACATACAAAACCAATTTGCTGTTCATTCTAGATTTGAAGTAATATATAATATATGTGTATATATCTAACGTTTGGCATGTTTGAACAGTGGATGTTTTGGGTCGGACCCTTCATCGGAGCTGCCATTGCTGCAATTTACCATCAGTTCATATTAAGAGCAAGCGCCGGCAAGGCTCTGGGATCATTCACAAGCTCCTGATTAATGGGCGCCGCCGTGTTAAATAATGATTTACAAGCTCCTGATTAATGGGCGCCGTCGTGTTAAATAATTAGGCAAAAAATGCCTATTTGGTTTTAATTTTGCTTTCTGTGTTCTATGTAATTACTTAACATCTCATGATGTTGTTTATATATAAGTACGTATCCAACCATATTCAAAGTAACTAATGAACTTAATTATGGTCTAATTTTATCTTTTTGGGTTTTTTTTAATAAATAGTATTTATTATTTAATAATAATAAAAAAACAGGCAACTAGAATTAAAAAAAATAATAATAATAATAAAATAAAAAATTTGTACTTTAAAATTATAATATTCTTTTTACAATATACTTTTTATTAAAAAATTAAAAAAATATAAATGTTAAATATAATTTACAAAGTTACATATAAAAAATGAGGAACGTTGAATTGACTCTGATACAATATTAAATGAACACGACTCTCCACAATGACATATGATATTATCTACTACTTTCAGCTAACACCTCCACTCGAACGAAGATTTAGGGCATGACTTTGATATCATGTTAGATGAACATGACTCTCCTAGGATGATATTCTCCACTTTGAGAATAAGCTCTTATGACTTTGTTTTAGGCTTCTATAATGAGTATTTCTTGATTATAAACACATGATCATTTCTAAATTAACTGATGTTTGACTTTCATCCAAACATACCAACCCAAATATAGTATTTTATTATTAGTTAAAAATAATAATAATTAACATTATCACCATCACATTATTAGTTTTAAACAAATCCATAATTAATATATATATATAATTCATCCAACAAAAATAATAAAAAAAATTACTTTTTAGAAAAAAGATAGGAAAAAAATTATAATGACATCCCAACGGCTACCGCCCATCCAAGGATGAACTGACAAACCCTATGATGCACTAAAATTTCATCCATAAAAAAAATGTTTTTAATTGTTTCAATGAGCAATAAAGATTCGACACGTGGATCACCCAGAACCACAAATCTTACAAATTCCTAGAATTTTTTCCACGTTGAACATTTTGTTGACTGGACCGACCATAAATTTGAGGTAATAATAACATTGATGATTGCGTTTATTACGTGGCACGACTTAATTGGTTCGTAATTTCGACAGTGGTGGACCCTCTATCAAGATGGACGGTGGTGGTTTATTGTATAATGGATTTCATTTAGTCGGTTCTGTCACTCATCAGCTCTCACCGACGGCTGTCCCACTTATTCCCACGTGACTTATATGACACTAACCTTTCTTTTCTCTTTTTAATTTTTTTTAGCTTCGAAAATGTATTTTTGGTTCTTCCGGTTAGTTCTGGACACAGCAAATCTCGATAATGATACGATGAAGAATAATCCTCCATAGCTTTATGACTGAAGCCCATTGAGCCACTAATCACGCTCTCGTCACGGGCAGTGGTTCATTTACTTCTTGTCTCTTCAGAATTCAAGGACACAATTGTATAACCTATACAACAAATCCTGTTTAAGTAAGGTTGTATAACTGTGTTTTTGAGTTATAAGGAGACCAGAATCGAAGTCTAGTGGATGAATCACGGTCTTGTGACTAAAGGATGATTAATGGCCGAACCGTCTTAAGTCCTACTACTTGGTTTGTTGGAATGGTTGTCCAAACATAAACTTTAATATTTGAAAAGAATTATATTAAAAGATAATGTTTATTATAGGGATGATGTAATAATTACTGGAATGGGGTCGGCAAAATGGGGCGGCGAGAAAATTCCATAAGAAAATTGAATTAATTATAATCTAAAGCCATCACTGATCAATTCATGTTTCGAACCCCCGAATATAAATCCCCCACTTCATCCCTAACCTTCATCACTCCCCTCTGCAACTCCTCTGCTTTCAAATCCAAATTCCTTCCTCCATTTCTTCTTCAATTTCTCCCACAAGGAGCAGTAGCCATGTCTAAGGATCTCGAAGCCGGTGGGTTCGCTACCAAGGACTACCAAGACCCACCACCAGCACCATTGATCGACGCCGACGAGTTCACTCAATGGTCTTTTTACAGAGCCATCATCGCCGAGTTCGTCGCCACGCTTTTGTTCTTGTACGTCACTGTTCTCACTGTCATTGGCTACAGTAACCAGTCCGACACCAAAAACGGCGGCCAAATCTGCGGCGGGGTCGGCATTCTTGGCATCGCTTGGGCATTCGGCGGCATGATTTTCGTCCTCGTTTACTGTACCGCTGGAATTTCCGGTGAGTTTAGTTTTCTTATTTTCCTCTGTTTCTCTCTCTGTTTACTCTGTCCGTTGGTAAAAAAGTTGCCTTTTTTGTTGAACTTTGCAGGAGGGCACATTAACCCGGCGGTGACTTTTGGGTTGTTTTTGGCTCGGAAAGTGTCTTTGGTTAGAGCAATTCTTTACATGGCGGCTCAATGTTTGGGCGCCATTTGTGGGTGTGCTTTAGTGAAATCGTTCCAGAAGGCTCATTACAATGAGTACGGCGGTGGAGCCAATTCACTCGCCGATGGGTACAGCACCGGCACCGGCTTAGCCGCAGAGATCATCGGAACTTTCGTTCTTGTTTACACCGTCTTCTCCGCCACCGATCCCAAGAGGAACGCCAGAGATTCTCACGTTCCTGTAAGTTCATTTAATGCCTCAAATTGAGTTCAGCTGGGAGCTTAATCCATTAAACTAACCTTTTTCCAACTCAAAATTGAAGGTTTTGGCGCCACTCCCAATTGGGTTCGCGGTGTTTATGGTTCATTTGGCCACCATTCCGATCACCGGGACCGGCATCAACCCAGCTCGAAGCTTTGGAGCCGCCGTGATCTTAAACAAAGACAAGCCATGGGATGACCAGGTAACTAACTTCATCTTTTCCCCTAATCCTGCTCTATTATAAGATTGTTTTCTGTAATTGAAGCTTATTTGTTTTGTTTTGTGTTTGAGCAGTGGATCTTTTGGGTTGGCCCCTTCATTGGAGCTGCCATTGCTGCAATTTATCACCAAATCATACTGAGAGCAGGGGCAGTTAAAGCTCTGGGATCGTTCAGAAGTTCCACCGCCGTTTAAATCTAATAATACAAATCTATGTTGTTCTTCGTTTGGGGCCAAAATAAGTGTGAATTTTCTTTACCCAAATTCCCGAAGGCACTGGTTTTTATGTGTGCCTTCTATCCATCAATCCAATCGCTGTATTTTCTTTAGCTTTTCCTCTGTTTTTGGCCTCCGATTATGTAATTCTCGCCTCTGTTTTAATGCAAAGTTCGATCCAATCAACTGGGTCATGCCCACAATTATAATCATATAATGTGTTACTTTTGAGATCATGCCTAGATTAAACGAGGAAAAATTGCTAGCGAGAGAGGAACGAGTGCTAGTGAGAGTGCTTGGGCCAAAAGGTGGGTGGATTGTGAGATTTCACATCGATTGGAAAGAGAAACGAGTACGACACTGGGTCACTAAAGGGTGGCTTGTGAAATCTCACATTGGTTGAAAAAGAAAACGAAACATTCCGTGTGGAAACCTCCCCTACTAGACACATTTCTCATATATTTGCTAGCGTAGGTCTGAAGCTGTTACACTATTTCTCATATATTTTATGCAAATTTCATGCAAAGTATATAATTTTTTTCATATCGATAACGAAAATTTTGACAAAGTTATCGGTTAATGCCAAATAGATTTTCATGTCATTATCGGACTTCACAAGCATCAAACATGATAATAAACGTTATATATGGGTCGAGTATGTTTGGGTTTGGAGTCTTTTTCAGACTCAAATCAATTATTTAGATGGTAAAATTTTGCTTACCATAGTCAAATTTTAATAAACCATTTTTAGTTATTCCACAAATTCAAAAAAGCTTTTGCTCAACATATATTCATACGAAGGAATAACTTAGGAATACTTTATTAATGGAAATTTAGACTAAATTAATTAAAAATTAAAAAAATTGAATTATTACTTTATCTAAAAAAAAATAAGTTACTTAATTTAAAAATATATTTAATATTTAGTTTTTATTTTATTTTAAAATGGTAAATATATTTTTTATGTTTAGAAAACGTAAATTTATTTGGAACTCAAGATAACTTAGTTTCAAGAAAAAATAAAGTTTATTAAAAAAAATCAAATTTTTTTAAGTTGTAAGGAAATGTTTAGAATTTTATTTTATAAACCAAAATTACATCCAAAATTAATATTTTTTAAATAGTTGAATGGTATTATTGAGAATTCTTGCATATATTATATGTTTTATTTTTCATAATTATTATTTTTTTCTCTCTAAAATAATAGATGGCATGCAAATGGGGCATGATTTTTCGTAAGAAGGAAGAAACGTGGCATGAATCTTGCATTAAAATAATAATAATAATAATAATTATTATTATTAATTATTATTATTTCCTGGTTAAATAATAGGTGGCATGTAAATGGGGATATATTTGTAAATGAACCTCAAAATATTGATTTCTAATTATAGCAAATAAATTTCGAAACAAAATCAAATCGGATAAAGTAGAACTAATTTTAGACAAAATGAATATAATATTGTTATTTTGAAAATCTAGGAATATTTATTTTATTTTTTTTAGCTTTAAATATATCACCTATTCAATCTTTGAAGCACTACCTTCCAACATAACTCTCCTCTGCTTCCAAGACAGCAGGAGCAATGTCGTCTAACAGTGTGTTTGAGCGCAGAAGCAATGGTGGGTTGGCCGCCACCGCCAAGGACTACCAAGACCCGCCGCCGGCTCCGTTAATCGACGCGAGGGAGTTCACTCAGTGGTCCTTTTACAGAGCTATCACTGTCGAATTCGTCGCCACACTTATGTTCTTGTACATTCTTGTTCTCACTGTGATTGGCTATGACACCCAGTCCGCGACCAATGTCTGCGGCGGCGTCGGCGTTTTGGGCATTGCCTGGGCCGTCGGCGGAATGATCTTCGTTCTCGTTTACTGCACCGCTGGAATTTCAGGCGGGTTTAGTTTTCTTCTCTTGCTCTGTTTTTTTCCCCTTTCTCTCTCTCTCTGTCCGATTACCCTTTTTGTTGAACCATTCAGGAGGGCATATTAACCCGGCGGTGACATTTGGGCTGTTCTTGGCTCAAAAAATCTCCCTAATCAGAGCTGTGTTTTACATTATGGCTCAATGTTTGGGCGCCATTTGTGGGTGTGCGTTGGCTAAATCATTCCAGAAG